TCCCCAAAACACCCCTGTACTTTATTTCTTTCCTGTGCATAAATTCCATCTTCTCCTAGACTGAGCTATTACAGAGCAGAAAGATTTTCTTCCATAACATTCATTCTGGACTTACTTCAGAAGGAGAGTTTCATGCACAAAACAAAACTTCGCAAACAATTCAAATTCTATTCTTAGTTGATTTTGATTCCAAGACACATTAACTGCAGAAGTATCCCCATAAAACCACATAGAGACAGAAAGGAAAATTACTACACATCACCATTCTTGTGTGGAATAACCAGTTTGAAATTTCTGAATGACTGACATTATTCTGTTGCCCTCTCCATTGGAAGAAACAGAGAAAAAAAAAGTAATGAAAAGTTCTGAGAGATTCTCCAGAGCTGAGTTAGGAAAGTTGGTGCACATTGTGCCTTTGTGTGAAAAGCATCTCTGCCAGATGAATCAAGTAAGTAACAATTTATTGCATTTCTCTCTTCCTGTGATGAGACAAAAGTGGCACGAGTGGGATTTTCTTCCTAAGACTCCTGGACAGGATGAAATTCTATAACCAAAAAGTATGAGATGCAGATGCCAAAAATAATGCAGAGATAATTATATCTGTGACTATACTCATCTTCCTACTATCTCATACCTTTCAGTTTCTTGTGAGCTTATATTTTGGTTTTCATAACACATTCCAACTGCAAGGCCTTTGACACAGAGACAGCTTCCTCATACAAAGGAAATTTTATGTCTAGCACAAGAAGTTGATGCTTAAAGAATCTAAGTGATGCTCTAATATAAAAAGCATTAATGTTGGGTCTGATGAGTTATAACAACGCACAGGTCAGTCAACAGAAAAGATAATAATTGGTTAAAATAATAATTTATTTCCTGCCTTGCGGTTTCAACCTCTGTGCAGAATGGTTGTATCCTTTGCATATTCTGAAAATATATTGAACCTGTCAGTCTTAGAACCAATCTGGAAACAGTATCATATTCATGGAGGGAAGGGGGATGACATCTGTAAGAGCTGGGTTTCTCAGTTTTTAAAGAGACTTTTATCATTGTGGCCTGAGAGAAAACAGTCCTACACCTTTTGATGAAAGTTTGCCTCAAAGTGCTGCCCAGTTGTTCGGGTAGTCTGATAGCAGGGTGATAAGCTGCCACAGGAAAAATCTTGTAAACACACAGGTTATGATAGACTTTCTCAGGAGAATGACTATTCATTCCGAATGTGACAACTGGAAGACAAAAAAGTGAATGTCTAGATCTTGCGTGGCACAGGCAAGATAGCTACATTGCTGAAACCACAAGAACGAGGGAAGACCTTATCACCCCAAATGAAAGACAGTTACTTTACTTTTCAGTACAATTATGTAAACCAGATGCTTTTAAGCCCGATTTCCTCTGGATAATCATGGAGCAGCTGTAGCTAAAATAAGGTGTCTCATTATAGAAACTTGTTAAAAATATTGCACTAATTACATTTAAGATACAGCCCAGAACTCAAGGTTTGTGTTTTGACACCTGAAACCAAGCAAACTGGGATCTGATGACATGCACTATCACAGGAGTGACCTATTCAAACTACATCACTCCAATTAAAAAGCAGATATGCTCAAAGTAGATAGATTTTTGAGTGCGGAACCCTTCATGAGAAATTATTTCTGATTTTGGTTGATTAGAATCTAGAGTTCTTCATCATTGTGGCACATTGCAAAGTTCACCTGCATTGAAAACCTATGGCAAACCTTTACAGACAGCTTTAAAGGATCCCTCAAAGACACTGTACACTCAAAAGAAGTTCAAATCCTTTCCTCTGGGTTCTGGTGATGAGCACACAGAACTGAAAAAACTCAGACATTTCAGATGATCATGCCACAAAGTCAGCATGGTATCAGCAAACGAGAAAAAAAACTTAAAAGAGTATGAAAGTTCTTGCACAGTAAACTTTACATCTCTTTTATTATGAACTTGTTGCTCACACCAGAAATGGATTTTCAAAGGTGCTACACATCTTGGCAGTTTCAGGAAAGAGAAAACCCAGCTGTCCATTAATGTCCAATTTTTATGTTTTTAAATACAAGAAGTAAGAAAGGTCAATCTAGAGATCACATTCAGGGACGACTTATGCTCCTAGTTTTCCAGTCAAGAAGCAACAGGGAATTCAGTGAAATTACAGAGATATATTTAGAGCTAAATTAGGCCTTGTAAATAGAAGAAAATAGAGCCATTTGCAAAGACATTCTGAACAAAATTATTCAATTGAAGCTCAATGAAATAAAAGCTACAATAGCATTCAGTATACACTACTGAATGTGTTAAATGGAGAACTAGAACACTTACTGTAACAATCGTAAGCAAAAAAAGTACTATTTACATACATATTTAAGATACTTTCAACAGATTTTTTATTAAATTTTGGTCAGTACTCTAGCATGACTGATCAGACTTCTGTCACACAGAAAGATGATGAGAAAGATGATGTAAATTATTTAGATTTTTGCCTTTCTAATGTCTCTAAAAGGATCTCTCATGTTTACCCAATCTTCCATGTTTTAACAATCTGACACTTTTTAGCAGGATTGCAGGCTCTATATCACTTCAAAGTTATAATTTACTACCTGTGTGAAAACCCAAGATACAGCAAATGAAAACAAAATAAAGTTGAGGACATAAGAAAAAACCCAACAGTTCACTAGCACATACTTGTTCTGAAATACATAGAAATTCAATTTTCTGAAATGTGATTTTTATTATTTGAACAAATTATAGTTCACTTGCACAAAATATCTTGAAACAAAAAGAAATATTTACTTGTAAAAATTAGCACGGTGACAGTCACATATTGAATATACTGTCTTTTGCTTACTAAACTAATAACTAAGATGAGGGACGAAAGTCAGGTTTCAGAGTCCTGTTCTAAACTATATGACAAATGAGCCATGGAAGCAACTATAAAAGCAGTACAATAGCAACAGGGAGGGTTAATTCAGGTTTCTGAAGAGCTTTCCAGTCTAAGTATAGCTTGTGTTAGTAAAGCGAAAAATAAACTCTAGAAAGCATAGTATACTTATGGTTACAGTCAGAATTATAACATTCCATCAGCTAGCATGGTTAACAGATGAGCCATAAACACACACGTACAACTCCACCCATAGTAAATCCACCCTATTACTGGTTTATGAACAAGAAACTTCAGATTGAAATTGTTTATAATAGAGGTAATATTTCTAATATCTACTACAGAAAGAGCATACAGAAACACAGGAACCACAGTTTAGATAGGATTTCTTTTTTTAAAAAAAAAGTTATTTATGTATTGACTAATCTAGATTAAACCAGAAGACAGCTAAAACAATCTCCTTGAATTCTGCATTTCTAGAGAGCCGTCTATGAAAAAAGAAAAAAGGATACTCAATGCGTGCTTTTCTTTTCATTTTGATTGTGGAAAAACAAAGGCAAAAAGACATAAAAGAATGCGAGTTTCAGTTATTCAGCCAAACGCAGTACGGTGAAGATAAAATGTTTTGTTTAGTCAGGTTTTTGCTTTTGCTTATACAAACTTGAGACATTTCAGACCTGTTTTATACTTTCAACATTCCAAAGTTCAAAAAGGGTTGCATCAAACGGTCACATCACAGAAACACAGGAGAATGTAACTACCTACACAGTGGATGCCTAGTTACACCGGGTCGTGCACAGCTGGTTCTAGAAAACATGGCCACGCCAACCAGAGAGAAGCACAGCCATAGCTGCGCTGCACGACACCCGAGACAAGAATCCTGCAGGACCAAACTCATCCTTGCAGAAAGAGCCGCAGCATCTCCCTATCCATTTGAGATAATTTGCAATCTGTTCTAGTTAATTCATAACAAGACAGTTGACTATGCAGTAGCAGGTACTGGAAAAAGTCTCCTAGCTCAAGGAGACGTAGCTCTTTCAAAAACAATTGATTTGGGTTTTAGACCTGAGGAGGTCTCGCTGTGACACTAGGCAGTGATAGTGTTCTGCGTAACGATGGAGGATTTTTGCCTCAGAGTTTCTATGGCCACAAGCAGCAAATCTTTTCATGTTATGGTCACCACCATCTTCACCACTGTTAAGGTGCAGTTCTCCCAGACAAATGCTGGGAACTGTCCCTCTCAGGATTTGAAAGACTCCAGCCACAAATTAAGAAATCCAGGCTCTGCCTAGCTAGTTGCAAACGTGACTATTTCATGAGAAATGCCAAAAATTATGAAATAATCAACACATTTTTAAAAATTAAATATATGCCCAGATCTCTGTAAGTTAGCATGACTTCCATCAAGAACACAAAATAATCACCTAGAAAAGAACAAAATTTTCTTTATTTACTGGAAGAGTTCCCCATACTAGTCAGAAGTAAGATAAAACTTGCAGTAACTTTTTTTTTTCTGTGCTTGTTTATATGATGTAGGTCATGTTATTTTAAGGAATTTCAACCCTTCATTAGATGTAGCAGACTATGAATTCCTCTGGGGAGATCTGAGGTCTGGTTAATCCATTTTGCCAACCTGCTGTCTCACTGGGCCACAGTGATTTGTAGCAAAATCAATAGAAAATTATAAATATGTAAAACTCCCAGATCTTCATGGTCATTTAGATTGTTCTCGTAAACTCACAAGATGAAAATACCAAAATTCAGAGGCAAAAGGTTTCAGTTTATAACCAGTGTGGAAATCAGGTAGCCCTCAAAAAAAAAAAAGTCTCTCTGTCAAGTGAAAACCAATCAAGTCATCATGCTAGCTTTAAAGTCATCCAATTTCAGCGAGCACCTTTGATCTATTTCAGTGTTCTGTTACTAATCTACTGCTGCTGAAGAAACATGCAAAACGCAGAAATGACAATGAACAACAGAACCTTGTCCTACCTAGACACAGACACATTACAGATTACAGCAGGTCATGGGAAAAGCAAGTCAGTTTTCAATCTCGTAATACACAAAATCATGAATTCTAAGAGCAAAAAAAACCCCAATGCTTTCTGCTTACCTGATATGGAACAATAGTCCCATGAGCAGTACCCCAGCGTTTTGCTTCTATTTTGCAATTAAGGTAATTAGCTGCTACATGAGTGAGACAAGCAACCTGGAAATGGAGAAAAAGTGAAGTGTTTAGGAAAGCTGAAACTTCATTGACAACTTCTCTGAGATTACTGTCTTTTTATATAGGCTTCAGATACATAAGTTAAAATATTTTATGTCACAAAAGTATCCTTCATATATTACGTATTATGTACAGTTTTTTAATATGAAAAAATTCAGGCTACATCTATATCATGGAAGTTCTTGTATAAGTACAACGTGATAAACTCAAAAAATAATGTGTCCTATAACACTAGTAATGCTAGACAAATCTAGCATTAAACTACCCTAAGAGATAAGACAGTATTACTCTAAATGTTTTGCAGAATGGTCAACTGCAACAAAGGAAAAAAAAAAATAAAATAAATCAGTGTCTTGTCCAAAGTCTAGTGGGAAGCATGATGGATTTGTGGGATAGAACTTACCATTTCCTGAACCTCAATCTCATGCTTAAATCACAAAGGCTTTTTCTCAATTACAAGATTATCTTTCTGTTTTCTCCTATGCTTCTTATTTTACATGTCCAAGCTATGGAAAGTACTTCTGAATTCTTCAGCTCCCCACATGCTCTGTAATATTAATTAAGTGGTAGGCCTTGATAAATCATCTGCCGTTAGACGATAAGAAGAGATTTACCAAGTTATTAGTCAGACAGACAAAACTGGAAAAAGATCAATTTTGTGAAAAATAAGGCATGCTAATTTAATAACCATAACTGGAGGGAATAAATATATACTTTGTAAGCCCAAACGTATCTCAGGAAAAAGAACTGAACATTTATGATGCAGTAATGCATGAAAATCAGTGGTTCCATTATAACCAATGGCAGATTCTTTATTCTTATTTCAAGAGAATATCATGTGTGACTATATCTGAAGCCAAGTAACGCAATAAAGCATTACAGTTAGCATGCATGGTTATCACCAATTGACCAGACACAATGTATTTGTTGTACTCTGTTAACTAGTTGTGCCAGTAAGTGCAGCTGCTTGCCTAAACAATAGGCCATGTGACCATTTTTTCCCAAAAATACTATTTTCTTTATATTCCTCCCCTAGATGGAAGAAATTTGCCATGATGATCCAAGTGTTTACACTATTCTGTGCTTACTAATCAGTCCAACCTACATCAAAACATGCAGTAGTTAATTCAGACTCCACCATTCACATTCCAATATGTCAGTTACATCAGAATTTCTAGAAAAAGAATGCCATTTCATTTTCTTCTCCTTTCTCCATATATGCTGAGGAGGCAATGCAAATGTGTCACACTCACATTTAAAGCAAATATTTAACTGTAAATCAGGGATACAGTGATTTAGTCCAGCAGAAAATCTAGGAAAATATACAGCAAATAAGACTCGTAACTGCAGTCAAAAACTGTATCCGTATATACCAACTACAAATACAATGGTTTATGCCTAAGTACTGTTGGAAAACACTTTGTAGTTGGATTTCAGTTGCAGCTTACTGTGGTCCAGTGTCACCTCATTCAGCTAAAATGTTGAACAATGTCTAGTCTGTCGCTCAGTCCCCAGGAAAATCTCAGCAATTAAGGAAATGGATCTGGGAGTACGCAGAAAAGACTTTTTCTTCTGGTTTGCAACTTTCCTCAGGAACACAGAATAAAACATATTATTAGAGAGAGAGTTTACTGAGTCACAAAAGGGCATTACCCTAGACCCATCGTTCTTGCCATTTTTCAATTTGGGGTCACACTCCATAGTGATTTTTTTCTACCAGAGCAAACGGCTATGCCACGATGATGAAATATTAATCATTAGATATTCTTCTGTACTCGTGTGTAACACTTCTCAGCTGCTGTACTCCCCACAAATTTCACTGACAGGGTGAGATGCATCCACTAACAAGAATGCCCTCTGTGATACAGGCATTTAACTTTTCACACTTCTGGAAGGGAACACTATACCAAACTTACCTCTGAGAAGGACATAGTGAATTAAAACCTAGCGAAATAGAAATCCTAAAATATTGATATTGAATAAAATGTAGCCAAGATTTCATTCCATTTATTTGTTTATATTCTATGCTGTAGAATTAGAGGTATGAGTTTTATAGACAAAATTCTTCATAAGAAGTTTCCCAAGAAAACTTCTGTCCTTAAAAAAATGTTTTTAACAGCGCTGTAAATTGCTTCAGCTTTCTAGATGAGATTAATATAATTATTTCAACGGTGGAAAATATATATATCTAGATTTCTCCAAAGCACTTGTCCACAGTACAATAGGAAAAAAGATTTAAAACCTAATACTTGCTAGACATTGGAATTGCACTACTAAAGCTTCTGCTCAAAGATTTGTTTCAGTAACAATAGACAGCAAATGCCAGGGAAGTCAGAAGCTTAGTAAAGACAGCAATTTTGGAACTAAAAGTTGCTTAGACTATATCAAGGCCTCGGTTCAACATGATACTTAGCCTGAAGAATAATTCCATTTCAGTTAATGTACTGATCACTTGCTTGAATGCATACGTGTAGGTATGTATCCTGTCCTGCTGAAACTGGTTTACTTATTATTGTTTTCACAATAAATCATGAAAGAAAAAGGCTTTTGGTTCTCCTTGACATCTTTCTCTCAGTGGGGTACCTTGTTCATAGTCAAATCAGCCAGCCAAAAACAATTAGTAGTATTAGTAATATCATCACCATCATAACAAATAAACTTATATTGACCACATCAAAGTAAATATTTCAGTGCTTTATGTTTTATGTATAAACACACTCAGTTGAGTGAACTCTGTGGCCTTTTGCCCCTTTCTTAATAACTCTCTGATGAATTCAGCAGACTTAAAAGATTATTCTATTTCTACTGTCCCATGAAACTGTTATAGACAGTCCCAGGACTACCACCGTGCTTTTCCCTTTCCTCTCATCCTGGCTCAGTTCATTCTCTGGTCTCTCTAAAGATCTACTCTCACTGAAAAGGCATCATCGAAAAAAACCCTTTCAGTATATACATTTTATGTCCTTAATAAAGAAGAATTTATGTACCTATATCTTATGATTGTTAAGCAAACTGCTGAACTATAAGCATAAAAAAAAAAGATATCCCAACCGAACATTTCTACAGACATTATATCTCCTGGAAAAAAATGTTTTTAAAATAAGTCTTTCTCCAAATTCCCCTCTAATTCAAGACTTGGTTAGGACCTCACTGTTAGAGACACTTCTTGCAGTAGTAATATCTATATTACAACCAATTTCTTAAAATGAAGTTTGGGTACATCTGTATTACATAGTCAGTTAAGTATTTTAAAATCTATATTTGAAACTGCTTTCCTGAAGCCTTATAAAGCCATTTCTTTTCTCCTTTAATTAAGAACTAATCCTTAAAAGTAACCTTTGGACTTATAACATTAAAGCAGATGTAATACAATGATACAGACATTTCTGTACTCATTTTCTTGCAGAGACAGATCTATGCACTGTAAATATGTATTATCAAGTATCTACAGATCAGCGTTTCTTTATTTCACATCAATAAAGGGAACACACACTTCAACATTCCTTTCTGATATTACTGTTGACAGCCAAATCACATATTTGCATTACATACTTAACACCAGAACAAAAAGAGAGCTGCATTAAGGTCTGAAAAGTTATGCTCAGCTTATGATGGAATCAGACAGATGGGAAACAAGATATTAAAAGCCACAAGGTGAGCAGACAAAGAAAAGAGACAGAATTTCAAAAGATTTTTTTCAAGATAGCACATCAAACATAATTTATTACAATGAGTTCACTGAGTCAATCAATCATTTACATGCAAGTTCAACAAGTGTATATGAATAACAAAAGATGACAGGTAACTGGAAAGAGGAGAAAATAACATTTTAATTATATTCTTTACTTTCTTCTCCCTCCAATTTTCTGTCTGCTTTCCTGCCATGTATCTTAACAAGGCTTTGACTATTAGCCAAGTTAATTTATTTTTTTTTCTTATTCTTTGTTTACTTTTTCTTAAAGTAGGCATGTAGACTGTCTCTTAGGAACTTCGAGACACAGGCATTTCACAGCAGCACAGATAACTTACTTCACACTATACTACTGAACTAGTAACCCAAATATTAAATTTATAAATTTGTAGAAAAAAATAATCCTGGAAAATTTCAGTGCTTTCTGTTACGCAAAGGCCAATAATCTTCCACTTACACCTTTTCCATACTTCTGGTGACATGGAAAAAAGATCTTTACGTGAAAGAAATTTGAACATAAGACCACAACCCTCATTTGGTGTATGCTAACAAAGCTCTCTTAAAATCACTGATCCTGTGCTGGTATTTACCTAATGACTGATTTTACCGTTTTACATGTTTTCCCCTTTTCATGTTGCAATAAATAATTTGACACTAATAAACCAACATGGAAGTTTGATTGATTTTGCTTTTGCAAGTTACCCCCCGTCACCCTTCCCATTTGTATATTTGTATTGAACCTGCTACCACAGACAGGTGCATGGGGCGTCCGTCACCTCTTGCTTCTTGAATATTTTTTCCATTAAAAAAAGTCAAAACCAAAAACCTCCATCTCTACCAAGAAAACTCCACTCCATTTAGAAGAAAACCCCACTCTTCTAGTTGAAGTCTAATTATGTTTAGCCACAAGGTTTAGTGACAGTAGAAATAAGTTCTTACTAGTGTGCGATCACCTCACCGCTGCCATAGGCAGCGCACACGTGTTTTATGTTACATCCTAAGCACTGACCCCACTGGTTCAGGACATGGCACTGCGCCACAATCAACGGTGCTCTTCTACCCATTTCAAACTCCTCCAAGAACGAACCGGGCAGCAGGAACCAGAGCCTTGCACAGGGGCAAGAAAGCTGCCACAATTCAAGGCAACCCATTCCACAGGGACCCACAGCAGGAAGCCGCAGCCTTCCCAGGAGCTGTCAGCGAACGTTGCCTTCTGTCTGGGCACAGACAGAAGCGTAAAGGCTTCCCATCTAGCCTGGAGTTGAGAGCTCTGCAGGAGCTAAAGATCAGC